TCTTTTTTTTTTTTGGTGCGGGAAAAATGAATAAACCCTCAAAACACTTTCATTTAAGGCCAGTTCCTGCCAGCAAGGGAAATTTAATCCACTCAAGCCACCAAATCATTGAGTACATTTATTCATTAAAGTAATCAATCAGTGGAAATAGGTTTTTCTTTTTATATATTAAATGGCAAAACTGATGAGTTCATAAAAATGTCAAGAAATTTTCATCTCTGCTATCTCTTTTCTTAGGTCAGCTGTCTTCAAATGTATTATCCCATTTGTGGGAATCTTACTTATTCTGTCTTTCTTGTAGAAAGCTGAGTATTGAGTATTACACAGAGATTAAAATTGAGTAGAAACTATAGAAAATGTCAAACATAGCAGAAATCATGACACTTGCTCTTTTGACTAGTCACAAAAGCATCAACAGTTGTTAATTTTTTGAAGCTAGTACTCTGGCAGTGTTACATTAATACATCAGTCACAGCAACCTCTTGTTTACATTTTTGCTAGCATCTACAAGTTTGTCAAGATCTATCGTCTCTTCCCTTTACACAGTTGGCTTCTTTTATTTTGACAAATGGATCCTTGCCAAAAGTTATGTATGTGCCTTGCACATCATCATTTGGAAGCAGGAGACAACATCGTGATTACCATTTTTCTCTACTATTTATAACATAGGCTGCTTCTTTGAGATCTTTTAGTGGAAAAGACCTGGTGATGAAAAACATAATGAAAAACTGTCCATTTGCTATGGTAAATAAAACTGCATGCATTGTTTGTCTGACATACTCTAAACCTAGAACTTAAGCTCCTTTTAGTTTGGGAAAGATGAAGAGCCTCCCAGGTTCTTCTTTGAGCTCATGTTCATTTAGAAAAGTTGGAATGTAAAGGGACCAACTGTGTGTTGTGCAATTCAGTGTCTTACATCTGTAGGCATTCCAGTAATATAGACTCACCAAAATTTATAAAACACCCCTTAAGACCTTTGAATGACAGACCTTACAATTGTTATAATGATTCTAAACCTCAAAAATGGTGTCACAGGTAAGGAAGAGGTGAAATAGAAGGCATTGCCAATATTTTGGATGAAGCAGGAATTTCTTAGGTGGTTTCCAGATCTTTGCAGGAAGTCATGGCACCATGGGCCATGCCCCAAGTTCCAGAGGAGGATGGATATTTCTGAAGTAAAATTCCATCCTGAAATGTGTAGTTATGAAACTATCAATTTGTTACTATTGAGTCTGGTGACAGGTTTAACCCTGAAAGTGTGAAAAAGACATACTAAAGAAATACCTGTTCTTTCTCAATAGTGCCAGGATCATCCACCACCTCCCCCAACACCGCAAATCCATCTGTGGCCAATCTTCAGAGGAAATTGATTGACAGCAGCCCTGAAGTATGGACTAATTAAATATAAGTAGGTTGCAGTGAACACAAATCAGCTTGACCCAAAAAATTTTGGTTCCCAGATGTCAGCAAGATTTTCTGTTTAGCTTTTTAATATGGTCAGGGTCCAGAAGCAGTCTCTGTAAATAACGGGGGGATCTTTGTTGCAAATTCTTACTCCTCACATCTTTAAAGTTGACTAAAAAATACCTTTGGAGCAAGCAGACTCTAAAGGGCAGCCAAAGGCGTGTTTATATGGGGAAATCAGCATGTGGTAAGGCGAGATGAAAACTGATGGTACAGTAGCTGTCTGCACTCATTCTTCATAGGGAGAGTGGTGAGCCCTCAGGGTGCGCTCAGGTGGCCTCTGCCAGCACTCACTGAGGGAAGTTTAAGGGGCCAGTGTCCCTGATATCTGCCTTGTCCTTTTGCTGGAGATTATGGCCCATATTCCAGTGGTGATGGAAAGGAGAACATGGCCACCCTTCCACCATCCTCCTTCACAGCCAGCTGCGTTCATTGACATTACCAGTGAAGGCTGATTTGTCTTAATGAGCTGAGCTTCTATTGATGGAGGCTGAAGAACTGAACCACATTTGGGTTTACTGCCCCAGCTAGGAGAAGAAAACTGCCATCAGAAGAGTGGGGCAGGTGTCATAGCAACACAAGTCTTAAGAACATCTCTTGAATGGAGTGGAATAAGGTATCATGTATTTAAAGATTAAAAGCATCTACATGGGGAATCAGGGCAGACTGGGTAGGGGCTTGCATGTCTGCAGTTTACATAACTGTGTATATATGGTCTTGCACTAACTTCCTGGGCACATCAGCAGAAAAAAATGCAAGTTTTGGTTATTCAAAAACATATTAAAGCTGTTCCTTTTTAGACAGAGCAACACCGTATAGTCTAATTGTTTCATTAGGACTCAGGAGCCCTCATATTTGCCTGAATAAAGGTGTGCTGCTACAATGCAGCTATCGCTGACTTACCTCCCTAAACAGGATAAAAAAGCACTTTCAGTTCCTGCTGATCATTTCCTTACATGTGTACTGTATGCAGTGCAAACCCCCCTTTTCCCCTGAGATGTGGATCTACAAGTTTTAATGCATATCCTTTTGAGGCCTTAGGACTGTGCTGCATCGTCTTTCCACAAAGACGCAGTGTTTAGGTAAAGAGAGCAAAGACTCTGAGACACAATCTCAAAGACTATCTGTGCAACTTGGAGATCACATTATCAGTGTGTAATAATTTGTTGGACACTCAACAGCGAGCTAACGGTATCTGTAGGTTGGGCTCACTGCCTTAGCATCTAAGCTCACAGGCTCAAAGTGACTAGTCTTTACTACTCATAAGGAATCTCTACAGATGAATGATAACAATATTGTGAATACCACTTCATGCTTCCAAACTAAACTTATCTTCTAGTCATCGGCAAAACCAATTTTGGACTAAATGGGGTATACACAGACAAGACTGCTCTTTATCTGGCCATTTTAAGTTCATCTCTCTCCTCTGTATCCAAGTCTTTGACTATGTGTAAATGAATATACCCACCAGCAGGAAAAAATCATGAGGTTGAATCCAATTAACATACCGTGCAACAAATACTAAGGCTGTCTGATGTAGCAACTTCACCAACACTGAAACTTTCCTGACAAAGTTTCGTCTGCACTTGGCTAGGACTAGTCAAGGTGGAAGATAGCAGGAACTTCAGGCACATCTTTTGCAACCAGTTTCCTTATGTCAGAAAAAATACCTTGCCCTGATACAAATTGTTTCAAGGACACCATGAATTCCTACCTTGAAAGGCAGATAGGTCAATATTAATAACAAAGAGGAGAACGCTAGAGACCTGCAGTTTCCCTCAGGTTTTTTCATGCACCATTGCTGATATTGAAGAGCAGCTGTTTGCCATTTAGCATCTACAGAGACTTTGCTGTATTGGAGGCACCCAGCTCTGCTGGCCTTGGCAGAGTTCTTTTACATCCTCTGCTGATACTGATGCCAAAAGCTCAGTTCTAACACATCAGGTCAGTGTTTGTTTGATGTGCGAATACATGAAAAAGTCCTTGGAGAAGAAAATAACTCTGGATTTTCAGAAAGTTTTGTTTATTTCTATTCCACAGCTTGTCTTGCTTGGATGCTGCACGGGCAACAGAGTGCATGTTGGTTCTGTCCTATGCTCTCTGCCCTGGAGCAACAACAAGTGCTGCTGGTCAAATGACTTACTTTGTAGGTCCACCAAAGAGGGAATGTAAGTGGAAAACAGGTAGAAAAAATCATCAGTGCTGCTTGAAAACATTGCTTTCCTATTCTAATACTTGGATTTGATATTTCTTCTTAAAATTACCATATCAACTGTAAATGTTTAGTGATTCACACAAAATCCCAGGGAACAGGAAATCCTGTGAAAACACCCCATTCCAGGCCCAGCCCTACTTCCATTCTTGACAAGGAGAGTTTTGCCACCAGTTCAAAGGAGAGCTCTTGGAGTATGATACAAAAACTTTTGCAATCTTCTTCTCTTCTAGTGTTCATTCATATAACAAAAGCACACTAAAACAGAAGAGAAAAAGTACTTAGAGCTGTTTGAGGAAACACAGGGCAGGTCCTCAGGTAATTAAATTAACACATTTCCACTGTAGGCAATGATATATACTGTATTCACTGAAGTTATGCCCATGTTTCCTCGCAAAGGCTCAGACTGACAGTGTTTGAACACATCACTGTTCCACAGGGTGCTGCAGATAGGAATCAGAGGCCAAATGCAGTCTTCAGGTAAAACTTCAGAAGTGTTACAGAAGACTGCATTGCATTTTGTATTAAAAAAATGTAAATTATTTTCAGAGTGGATTTAGTTCATTTTCATTGGTTTTACAGAGATGTGTAACTGCAACAGGGTACTGCTTGTACTAGCTAAACTATACAGACGTGATGAAGGTCCAGCCACTTGGAGGGCTTGCAAGTTCAGCTGATAGGTCCGTGCAGCCAGACCTGACATACTGGCTTTCATACACCTACTTAATCTCACAGAGAAAAAGCAGAAACTTTTCATCTGGTCTGATATCTCGCAGACGTACAAATGCACACATTCATTTATAGGCTGCAAATCACTTACATATTTAAAAACAATCAAAATGAAAGCAAACACAAATTGGGATGTATGATGTGAAGCATATAGGCATGTTGGAGGTAAAGCCCAGTTTCCAGAGGCTACTGACAATCCTGTCATGCCACAGGGAGAGGTGCTACTTTCCATAATGCATGGAGCCAATGATACCAGTGCCTTGACAGAGAGGAGGGGGAAGAAATCATTTGCTGACCCTGACAAGACAACAAAGTTGCACTGTGAAGCCTGATGTCTGATTAGTTGTTCAGGTTTTTTACATTGCATGGCTGTTAAGTAATAAAATAGTTTCTTCCTAAACCAATAGCATTCCATTTACCCATATACTGTTTTGTGCATTCCTCTCATTTCGTTTCCAACATCAAGTTAAAGGTCTGTATCTCCCCTTCTGAAGATGTGGAATTGCAAACTGACAAGACCGTTAGTGGAAGCTGAGTCAGTAATATCTCCAGGGATTAAGGGGACAGATTATTTATAGGCAATCTATTGTTTTAGAGTACTTTTCATTTTTAAAAATATCTAGCTATTAGTTACTAATATAAAAAGTACTAAATATTAAATTACTAAAAGGTCATGTTTACATAATATGTTTTGCCCACTAGCCACATAGAGAAAAAAGTTAAGCATTTGATTTCACTCTGAACTTTATGCCTTTGATAAATTTAAGATTATTTTAGTATTAAAGCCATTTTATGTCCTCAGTGGGAGTTAAGGCACTCAGCACTTGCAGGATTGAGTCTGAAGTAAGGATGGGAGCAGTAATGTGACCGTTCATGAATCGTACTGCCTAACATCTGAGAAGGATCCGGAAGACAATCCTTAGCCCTGAGCATTATATACAAATGAAATAGGGGTTATCTGGGGGCAGCATAATTCATTAAATGTGCCTTCTAAATGTAAAACACCAAATTCCCTTGACACAGTCAGCCTTTCGATCTGCAGTCTAGTTGTGACATAAAAAACGATATTACAGCAAGAGTAAACTTAAATTCAGAAAAGCTCAGAAGTTTGCTGTTAAAGCTCTTTCTATTTCTCGTTACATCTCGTAACAAATAGCCAGAAAAAACTTAAGAGGTATCATAGTCCTTTGAAAAAGCCTCTGATTCTAAAAGATGGGACTAGATTCTCAGCTGGTGTCAATCAGGAGATTTCTATTAATGGTAATCCAATTACCCTGTAGCTCTATCAGCTGAGAATCTGATCCAGGAGCTGTAACAGTCAGTTAGAAATGCATCCGTGTATAGCTTCATCTTCCCCTTGTACATCTTTCTCTTACTTCAGACCAGTGCTGGGAAAAAAATTCAGACAAATCTTGTGATCATATTTTCATGAAGACTGGATAAAATTATGTTGTGACTGTAAACCAGTTTATTTCAAGGGAGGGTGTAAGGTGATCAGACCATGCAAAGTTCAAAAAACTCTCACAACTGTAATTGTACTGTCAGATATGTACACATGTTACACAGACTGTATACTCTTCTCATCTTTGACATATTTATCCTTACATCAGACCTGCTCATGAAACAAGGAAGGATTATTTGTCCAGGTTGGTCAAACAGGACACAACAGGGTAAGTGGTTTGCTTAAGGCTATGCAGGAAACAGACTAACACTCTTCTGGTGTATTTCTCATGCTGGGCTAATGCCCCAGTCCCCAGACCACCTCTGCCTGCCTAGTTCACCTTCTGTTATTTAATTAATAGGGGCTATATCGATAATCTTTGGAAAGTCAGTTATTTATACTCCAGCTTAACCAACACAGAAAAGTTGAAATGTCTGCCTTGTGAGCTGACAAATTGAGGTGCTATACAGAGGCAATGGTTATTGATTTTAAATATACTATCTGTACCATGTCATTAACAGGAGACCAGTCTAAGGATGATTCAAAGACTCTTCCCTCAGCTCCACCAGCACTGCCCAACACCCTGCTCATATTCTGTGTCATGCGAGACAGAGGCAGTCAAGTAGCAACGCTGCTCCCTCTGTCACAGCCCCATCTGCCTTGCAAAGCTGGGACCAAGTCTCAGGGTCTGAACAAAGGCTACTGCTGGCCCCAGTGGATATTCATTTGTGCCAAATGACACTCACCTTCATTATAAATTGCCAACAAAATATGAAGGAAAATTAAAGAAGTTAGTGCTAGGGTCTTGGATAAAAGCTTTTTCCCAAATGAGAATGTGAAAGTACTTGTGAAGAAAAGGAAAATGAAAAATGTAACTAGACTCATTTATGTTTCCTTTATTTTCTTAACTGTGATTTAAAATTTCCTCATAGAAATGCTGCTGGTTCATGTATTTGAAAAACACACCCTGTGCCTGTTCAGCCTTGCCCAGAGCAGGTCAGTCCTGATTCACTGCCCACTGAAGTAGACAGCTGTACATCCTTGTATTTGTGTTAAACTTAACCTAGAGATTTTGAAACTATAATGGAAATACACATCTAGGGTCTCTCCAAAACTCAAAATTACATTTTAACTACAGATGTTGTTTAAGACCTTTAAGATATAGTATATACTAACAATTATGTTACAAGTGGTTACTAGAAAGATTTGGTTCCTTTTCAATCAGCTTGTGACCATGCAGCATTGCAAAGGCACCAGTGGAAGAAATAGGTGGACCTGGCCACTTACTGGCTTTTTCTTACTTTAATATAAGGTGAGATAAAGAACAGAAAAAGTAATCCTTTTCCTGAGTGATTCCGTTTTTATACAAAATCTATGAGGGCTCACCTTAAAAATATATGATACTATCGAGTTCAGCAAGCTGCATGATTTATTAAACTAGGGTCACCATCTCTTCCTGTCAGTTACATGTGATCAGTTTTTGTAAGTGCCTGTCACTTGTTATATATTTATTTATTAGAGGTTAGAGACAGTCTTTTAAAAGGTATCAAGGCACAGTACCCAAGAATTGACTTTCAGCTAGCTGGTGAAATAAATATTTCAGGCCACATTATCAGTTGATAGAAATCTTAGTAGCCTCATATTTCCAATTCAGCTCTGAGAATTTGGCCAATTATCAGTGACCTTGCACCTGACCATTTTTGGTGCAGTTTTGCTCTGGCACAGTGTAGTGATGCTGAGACATTTTTCCCAGAAAAATACAAAATGTTATACACCATCTCGTGTCAGGTATTCTGTACCGCAAATTGGTGGAACAAAGCATGTTATTTCCACTTAGTGGGAAGAAACCAACATTGTTATTTCTACTGCTCTAGTGTCAGGGCTTTTTATTTCCACTGCAATGATTGTACAGGCTCTCATAACCAATAAGCCAACATCCACCCTGCCAAAAAAAACAACAAAAAAAAGAGAACTTGGCTGGTCTGAAGCACACAAAGGAAAACTGACTCCAGGCTGCAGCTAGAATGGAAATGTCTATTCTCCTGATAGCAGTAGTGGGATTTGGCTAAAAATTGACATTTTTCTGACACATCAGCAATCTCTGGATTGTTTCCAGTTCTCTAAATCATGCAAGCAGAAAAAAACCTAAACAACAAACCAAGGGTGCATATAGATTCCATGCTAACTTCAGAGGGGGGAAAGGAAACGTACTACTTGCTTATGGTTGTGTAAAATAAAGGTAGTTTGGGTTTAAAGCTTCTGGACACAAGTGGTCAGATATAAAGGATTCAGATACATCACATCAGACAAAAAAAAAATAATGCCAGCAGCATAAGTTTTAAGAGAATTTCCTCTGAATAAGGGACACGGCATCACTTCTCAAAATTTCCTGCAATGAGGAGGAGCTTGAGGCTTTAAATTGGGGCTCCCTGGAAACTTCTCCATCGCAGAGCTGATGTGAACCAGTGCACTGTGAACACTGGCTGTGCCCCATTCCCAGCCCACTCTTCCCACTTGTTAACCTGAACTGCCCTCAGTCCCCAGCCCTCTGAGCGACCTTCTCTTGCAGCACAGCTTGATGCTGTGATCGCCTCCAGCTCCCAACAACGAGTTTTCTGTTTCACAGCATGTGAACCTGGGCCAGGAAAAGATGGGTTAGATTTTATGAGGATTGCAGACTATGGAGTCATTGCCCCTGAACACACAGAAAGTTGGACTCTCAGTTTGGTGCAAATCTACATCACTTCATGGATGCAAATGAAACAATATGAATTTGTTTTAGCTGAATGTACAATCTGTAGATTCTGGGGCTAGACAGGATTTATTTGCTGTGGTGAGAAATAAAAGATCTTGGTTTTATAGCTCATCAGTGGAAAAAATAGGTCTCTATTATCCATGAAACTAAGCCTCGCTCATTCATGTTTATATGGCCTTATTAACACCTGGTGTATTTTAAAATGATGGAAACTTCAAGAGGGAAGCTAAAAGATGCTGCTTTTTGGTGAAAATGACAATTCTGTTATTTGTAAATGTAAAAATCTTCACATCTTGATAAATTAGCACAAAATGGGGGCAGAAATATGCTAATGAGCCCTTTGTCAGAGATTATCACCTTTCACCTTGGAACATATATGTAAATGCTCTTTACAGCATTGTTTTTTCATGGAGCTGTACTTTGGACTGTGACTTGAGAATTCACAATATAAGAATATGACAGAAAATTTTGTATAGCATAGCAATAATGAATGTAGAGGATTTTACTGAGAATTATTTATTTTAAATCACCACAGTCCTTAAATTTGAGGCTATCAGCATAAGGTGTATGCTGCTTATAGTACTAAATGTTGGGGACACTGTTACAAAGTGTATCCTGCAAGTTCCTGCAAAAAAATCTAAAATTAATTTTAACCCATAATAAATTCTTCTCACCAGTACCAACTAACATCTGCTTAGTTGCTGTCACACATCCTTACCCAATGGCAATGGAGACATGGCCATCCTGAACCTTGTTTCTCAGAGGGGACGAGAACAGGGAGTTGGAGAGGATCTCAGTCCAGTATGGGCTACAGCATCTGGATTTGTAACAGCGAGCAGAAGCAGTATGATGGCAGGAAAAAGCTCAGCACCCTCAAGCTGGAAGCACGGCAAGGCAGATCTGAGGACACCGTCCCCACTGGGGCACTGGCGCCGCACGGTCTCTCCGGCACCGGCTGAGGTCACTGTGGCTCTGCACCTCCTGCTGCTTTTGGAGCAGCTTTTTGCTGCTGGAAGAAAGGAAATAGCAACAGATTTTTTTTTTATTTTTTTTTTTTCCAGCACATATAGTTTCTAAAAATGGGGACTAACTGATGGTTGTAATTTTGATGGAGATTTACTGTAGGCAAGACAGCAATCAAACCCACACTATTAACGGAAGGCTGATTGAGTTAATGAATATAATTGTCAACTCTACAAACTGATTCAGTCTGTCTAACAATCTATCAGTTTGTCTTTCCTCTTGCAGTTTGTTCCCATTTATATCTTGCTGTATGGTGACTGTAGGTGAATACCTAAAATCCCTATAAATATAAAACCGATGCTTAGGAAAGAGGTGTTCTGCTCTGTTGGGTAGTTGAATTTATCACTGTTCAATTAAACACAGTAAATTTGGGCTAGACAGCTGAACTAGTAAGGTT